GTTTGCTCCATACATTTGCCTTTCTACAGCTGGCCACTCGGAAGCTCAAAGTCCTTTTCCTTTGTTCTTGGTACCTTTCTACATATTTATTGATCTTTGTTAAGTTACTATTTAAGTCCCAGTTCTAACCAGCCTTGGAGTTATTCACATCACTGAGTACACCAATATGTATGCAAAATACATGTGTTAATGCACTTGTCTGTCTTTCTGTCTTTTGCCACTCCCATTTTTAGGGCCCCAGTTAATTAATCTAAAATAGGTAGAGGCAAAATTTTTTTTTCCTTTCTACAGTTTCCAATAACCCACTATAGATCAAGAGGGAGCATCCCAAAGCATAAGAAAATGGACACTTCAGTTACCAGAAGTTCCTCATGCTAACAGTGCAAAGATAACCATAGTGTGGCAGGTTTTGTAATATTAATCACTCCCTCTCCCTCCCCCGTGAGATTAGCTAGGCAGGACAAGTACAAGGAGCAGAAGAGGATCAAAACACCATTACATCCCCCCCCCTCCTTTATTGATTTTAGAGAGAAAAGAAGGGAGAGAGAGAGAGAGAGATAGAAACATAAATGAGAGAGAACATCAATTGGTTGCCTCCCACATGCCCCCCACTGGGGATCAGGCCTACAATCTGGGCATGTGTCCTGACCTGGAATCAAACTGGTGACCTCTTGGTGCATGGGTCGATGCTCAACCACTGAGCCACACTGGCCAGGCCGGCCGACCTTCCTTCCTTCCTTCCTTCCTCCCTTCCCCTCCCCTCCCCTCCCCTCCCCTCCCCTCCCCTCCCCTCCCCTCCCCTCCCCTCCCCTCCCCTCCCTTCCCCTCCCCTCCCCTCCTCTTCTCCTCTCTTTTTTAAAATCCTCACCTGAGGATATTTTTCCATTTTTTGTTCAGATAGAGTGGGAGGGAGAGAGAGAGGGAGAGAGGGGGAGAGGGAAAGAGAGAGAGAGAGAAACATCGAGGTGAGAGGGACACATCGAGTGGTTGCCTCCCGCATGACCCCAGTCAGGGCTGGGGACGAACCGCAACCGAGGTACTTGCCCTTGACCAGAATCGAACCCTCGACTCATTGGTTCGCAGGCCGACACTCTGACTGCTGAGCCAGTCTGGCCAGGGCTACATCTTTATTAACAGCAAAACTGAAGAGGGAACTATGTCAGGGCACACACCTCCCTCTGAGAACCCGGACAGCGCAGATTTGGCTTGTCTTTGCCAAGAGTTTGCCTGACTTCAGAGACACTGGGCACAGTTCCGCCCATGACCAAACTGGCAGTCTCTGTCTGTCTGTCTCACCTGTCAGATTCATCTACCCTCCTCCCATAGAATGGACCAGGTAAGAAAACAAAAACAGAGACGGGACGCGCTCGCTAGAACTGCTCCCTTGGAGCAAGTGGAACGGATTCCACTTGGTAGACATTGCTAATTGCCACCCAAAAGCCATGTCCTCCTCCTTAATTAGTAACCAAATCCTAAATTTTTTCCAGAATGACAGTGTTCTAAAGTGGAATGATAAGCTTCCCAGTCTCCCTTGTAAGTGGAAGTGACTAATAAAATGTCAGTGATGTCGCTCATGGGGTAAGTAAAGTGCCCTTTGCCTTCTTTCACCCCGTTGTCTCCCTGCTGCTTGGGATGCGGACAGAACCACGGGAGCACTAGCCGCCACGTGGCAACCACGATGCGTTTGTGAGACTGAAGTCACTACTACGAGAAGGGAAGAGAGAGGGGGAGAGATTGATGACTCCCGTTGTCACGTCAACCCGGGACTGGCTCACTGTGGATGACAGAGAAAAATAAAGCCTCATGTGCTTAAGCCACTGCAGTCTGACTTAGGTGATTAGTAGCTGAACAATTAGTAAATGATGGGTTTTATTTAGTAAGTGCGAGGGCAAAAAGAGTGATGTTTCTCTCACACCGGGGTGAGGGCCAGCAGTGAGCCTCTGTCACAGACATCCTCCATCTCCCCACAGAGAACATGAAAGCACCAGGCGTGCCCTTTGCAAGCCCCCCCCCCCCCCGAAAGTTCACCTTGAACTCTCAATCCTGCTACTTGGTGTCTGTCACTTACCGCTGGGCTCTCCTAGCTGTTTAGAATGTAGGAGAATGCATTGATATCAAGAACAATTTGTTCTTCCTCGAAAACTGCACCGATGAATTGACACCTAATTTTATTTGGACGTCAGTGTTGACATAACTTTTATATTTATAATTTACAACTGATTATGGACTCTAAAAAGAGACGAAGACCAGAGTTATGGATTTAGGAGTCACCATCAAATATATGGTCGCGGAAGCTGGAGAGAGGTCTCAGGAAGAGCCAAGAAGAGAAGTAGACCAAGGATTGAACCCAGAGAAATCTCAACTTTAAGAATCCTTCCTAGTCTGCCCAGTGTGGCTCACTGGCTGAGCATTGACCCATGCACCAAGAGGTCACTGGTTTAATTCCCGGTCAGGGCACATGCCCAGGTTGTGGGCCAAATCCCCAGTGGGGGGCATGCAGGAGGCGGCCAATCGATGTTCTCTCTCATCAATGTTTCCATCTCTCTCTCCTTCTCCCTTCCTCTCTCCCTAAAGTCAATAAAGAAAATTATTTTTAAAAAAACAAAGACTCCTTCTTAAAGAAAAAAAAAAATTCCTTTGCTGAAAACCAGATGTCATGATGTTGTGAAGTGACAAAATTGTGGTGTGGAGCAGAGGAATTCACTGTAGGACATCTGACATCAGATCGTGTCTGTCAACTACTGTGAAGTAGAAGGTCCAGACTTGTTCTACGCGTTGACTCCTGAAAACCAGCAATCCTCCAACACAGCTTAAAGGCATGAAAGGTGACCTATCCTTCCTTTGTGGGAGAGATGAAGGTCTTTGGATTTTAAAAATGTCATCTTTTCTGTCACAGAAATAAATGACTTTTATCTGGCTGTTGCAACCACCAGGAAAAGTACCTCTGAGTTTTTATAATTTCAGATCTTTAGTGGCAAAGGGACCGCTTTCCAATAGATCCAAACCAGTGTTTCATTAAGTCTGATTTCTGCTTTCCCCTCTATCACTCCAGGGACGATGTGGAGTGAATGTAAAAAAAGTTATTCTTGGACTTTAATGCATTTACTTCATAATTATTCCTTTCTACTCATATACTTATTGCTCTGGGTTATTCCTTGTTCCTACTCATTTGTGGTAATTGTGTTTTTACATCCATATCAAACTATATTTACTCTTATCCTTCCTCATTCTTGACTTGCTCCTAATTTCCCAAGATCTCCATATGTCTGGACACAGACAGGCCTCTGGAGGGTAGAGTTCAGCTGACTAAGACTGGAGAGGGCTCACTAGCGGTGGTTCAATATGGCATTAACACAATTCCAATGAGCTAATATATGTAAGGTACTTCAAACAGTGCCCAGATGCATAACATATGCTCAGTAAATGTTAAACCACATGATCATAATCTAGGCATAATCCGACTATCAGATTTTCCCACCTTCTTCACGCATCTCCTTTTAGCATATTTGGAAAGAATAAGGTTTGTCTCATGTCTCCTTAGTTGGTTCCACACTGCAGGGCTCCTCTGGCTGCTTTCAGCTCCAGCTCAATGTTTTGCTTCTGACCAGGTCTTGCTACTCCTACATGAATGTCAGCAGAGCAGTAAATGTCAGGAGACCCTTACTTCTCTTTGCTGCCTCGTTTCTCACACCAAGACACACCTTGAAGCTACCCAGCGTTATGGCAGCGTTGAAGAAATGTAAGCAAAGCAAAATATATAGACTCGGTACTTTATATGACTCTCCCCATAATTAAAAGAAAAGTGCAAGATGCTTTTGACAGAGGGTCTCCTCAAGGATGTCCCAAGTTCTGGCCTCTGCTCAGAGAGCACCCCATTCTTCTGGCTACATTGTGAGTCTTCACCCCCTACCTCTCCACAGGGGTTGGCTTGGTCCTAGGTTCACCTTCCTGCCTACACTCAGGGCAGTTTGTACGGATGTATTATGTATTCCTCAAAATCTGAGCTATTCAATATGGAATAGCAGCATCTTCAGCAGAGGAGTTCACAGTGGTCTTTGGCACTCGAAATCTGGATCACTTCCAAGTCATCTTGCAAGTGGAGAGTATAATAGGACTCCTCTTTCTTCCTGGTTCTTTAATAGTTAACCGTAACACACACACACACACACACACACAGCAATGGTAAAGTCTAAAGTTACTTTAAAGAATAAAAGAATTTTCCCAAACGCCCCATAATGTACATGGTATCTCCAGAACAGAATAGAGGTGGCAGTTAACATAATCATGTACATCCACATCCACATCCACATCCTTGGTTCTTCTTTTGCTTTCAACCTTAGCATACAGAGCCCAAGAAATTGACCCAATTACAAGACCGCCTACCCCATGGTTACTATTCCAAGGCCTAAGAGTTCTGAAACTTGGAAATGAGATATTTTAGCTTTGATTTATCTTTACATTCCAGACCATGTGAAGAACTCTTGGGTGAAGCCTTCTCTTGCATGTACATTTATGTATATGAAAGAGACAATTTATGATCTTCCTAGTCAAGCAATCTTTCTGGGAACTGAAAGACTATCTTACCTATGGCCCAATGTATCTACATTTTGTCTTTGGTAAGGCTGCTCCCATAACTGAAGAAAAAACAAATTCACTCTCTTGGCCCCTCATACCACCACTTATCCCATCTCCCAGCCAGAAATGTCACTTGAATGAACCCATTTAGCGTACCAAGAAAAGGATGGAAGGCATGAAACCTCATCTTATTAATCTTTTGGGCCTACTAAAGAGTCAAGTAAGTAATAGTCACTCAATCAATACTAAATTGCATACAACAAACCAATTTAAGTAGTATAAAATAGCATAATCCTCAAGAAGAGTATAAGCAAGAGACTGCCAATTTTTAAAGTGGAGAGAACACCCTACTGGAGAAAAAAGATAAAATTCCCCCACCTGTAGAAAAAAAGATACTGTGATGCTTCCCAGTAATTAACTGATACAAACAGAACCATCAGAAAAACACGCTTTTCAAGGTTTTACCTAGGGCAAGTTTAACATCCTTATTCCTCAAACTGTAGATCAAAGGGTTAAGCATGGGAACAATGTTGGTATAGAAGACTGAAGCATATTTACTCTGGTCCATAGATCCAGGAAGAGAGGTTGTTAAATAGGTAAATGCCCCTGACCCAAAATACAGAGCTACAGCAGTTACATGAGAGCCACATGTGCTAAAGGCTTTGGACCTTCCCTCAGCAGAAGGAATCCGGAGGATATTGGAGAGAATCAAAGCATAAGAGATGAATATGCTGATACTGGATGTTGTGATGACCACTCCAACAACAATAAAGAACACCAGCCAGTTGACACGGGTGCTGGTGCAGGAGAGCTGCAAGAGGGGGAGAACTTCACACAGATAATGGTTGATGACGTTGGAGTCACAGAAGGTCAGTCTCAGCATGCTCCCAGTATGGGCCATGGCCCCAGCAAACCCTGCCACGTATGAACCAAGCATCAGCACAGCACAGACCTGGGGGGACATGGTGACAGTGTACAGCAGAGGATTGCAGATAGCCACATAGCGATCATAGGCCATTGATACCAGCACATAGCACTCAGAATTGACAAAGAAACAGAAGAAAAATAGTTGAGTCATGCATCCCATGTAAGAGATAATATTTTCTGACACAAAATCATTCAGCATTTTGGGAGTAAAGACACAAGTATAACAAAGATCTATAAAAGACAAGTTGAAGAGGAAAAAGTACATTGGAGTGTGAAGCCTAGAATTCAGCCCAATTAAGGTGATCAAGCCCAAGTTGCCCACCACGGTAAACACAAAGATTCCTAAGAACAGGAGGAAGAGAGGGAAATGGAGCTCTGATTGTTCTGAAAACCTCACAAAGATAAATTCAGTCACCGAGGAGCTGTTTCTCAGAGTCATTCTCTTCTGAAGAGCTGTCTGTGGAAACAGAGGATAAAATACATAGATTGATGATTGGCACAAGCATGGATGATAGAAATGAAGACACAATGTCTGGATGCCCTCCCTTTTACCTTTTTTTCCTGTAACTGTAGAATCAGCTCAGAATGGTTCTATCCTGTTTGATGAGGTACTTAGTTGTTTTTCAGAGACAACAGACCAAAACCACAAGTCATGCAGCTGAAGCATGCACAGGTGAGAGAATATGGCCTCCAGCAGCACCTGCAACCAATGGAACCAAAGGACCAGGACATAAATGGAACGTGAAGAACAGAATGCTTTAGAAGCCAAGTGTCTGATGTCCAGGAAGATCTGGTATTGACGTTCCTTTACCATAAAGGACCAAGTTCCAAGGTCCTCCAATTAACATTTACCCTGCCAGCACTTCTGCACACCTGTTCCCCTTAGCCCTTTCAAAAATCTTAACCCAGTCTAGAAAGCAAGATGGATTTGAGGCACCACTAGGTCTCCCATCTTCCTGGTTGGCACCTTTTTGATCAATGAACCTTTACTTACTTCAAATATTGATGTTTTGAGTTTTGGCCTTTTGAAGCATCAGGCACATGGACTTTGGTTTGGTAACGTTCTGTTCTCTCATTTATGCCCCAACTGAGCAATTGACAATGTCTCTGTGACTATATCTCAGCTCCCCTAGGTTAATCATGAATCTAGGCTAGAATTTGTTAGCATGGGCAGCAAGAATTCTGTTCCCTCTTTAGAGTTGAAGAGATTGGCCCTGGCCGATTTGGCTCAGCGGTTAGAGCGTCGGCCTGCAGTCCTGAGAGACCCGGGTTCGGTTCCCGCTAAGGGCATGTACCTCGGTTGCAGTTTGTCCCCGGCCCTGGTCGGTTGTGCGGGTGGCAGCCACTCGATGTGTTCTTTTCACGTCGATGTTTCTCTCTCTCTCTCTGTTCCTCTCTCTCCCTCCCACTCTACCTGAACAAAAAGATGGAAAAATGTCCTCGGGTGAGGATTAAAAAAAAAAAAAAAAGAATAGAGTTGAAGAGATTGAATACATGAATTGGCTGCCCAAGGACTTTCAGAAAGACATACCAAGAGCCAGAAGTACAACCTGAAGCCCCCACTACCTCAGGATGTACTGAGAGCTCTCATGTCTCCCATTCTCTGCCTCCCTCTCCCAGCCAGATATGAGTCCTCTCTCCCCACCCACCTGGAGAGAAAGCCAATAGTGTCCCCTGCTGATCCTGCACATCCTACCATCCTCCTCTAAACCCTTTCACCCCATCTCACATTAAAGTCAGTTCTTGAGAGCAGCGTAGGGATTGATACACCCTAGACCTCTTGGCTGTGGGTTTACAAGAAGCCCAGCAGAGAAGATGGGATTCAAACACTCACCTTCCTTCTCCTTGACTCCCTCAGTGCTGGTCTGTCTGCATCTCTTTTTCCATTAGCCCAAAGGAGAAAATGATGTTAGTGCACAAAGCAGACAGCCTCAACTGTTAACTCCTCTGATTCTCCTGGTGCTAAGAATCAGAGATTCTGCAGCCCCAATCTCAAGGTGCTCTAGGAATAGACCAAGAGTTCTGTTTGTAGATTTTCTCCGCTAGTCTTCATCAACTTCAGGAGAAAAAATAGCAGTCCTCATTTTCACCAGAACCCCAGCTAGCATATTATGAAGAACTTTATACTATTTGATGGCCTTGGGGACCTCACTAGGCACAATTTCCCCCTAGGACTTTTTCAGATTGTCCCTGAAGGGAAGAAATTGTATTCCTTGTTAATGGCTGGGATTGTGATGCGTCCACAGCATCTTGGGACTCAGGTGTTCCTCCAAGACTTTCCTCCTACCCCAGGGATTCCAGGACTTCCTGTGTGAGGTGGGGCCTCATTTTTCCTCTCCTTCATTAACCCTAACACTTAAGCTTGACTTGAAGGAAGAATGGTCCCAAACTTATTTTAGCCACCATTTTCAAGTTTTCCAAGGGAGTTTTGAGAATCATAACAAACAAAAAAAGTTAGATCAGAGTTGTAGGTGCTAGAGAGAGAGCGCCTCAGACGTTTCTGGCACCATGAACTGCTCAGAACAGTGGAGACACCACCCACCCACCAGCGCAAGCACCACCTGCTCTCAGCTCTGAGGGCTACGCACAGAACTTTGCTGTATAGGAGAAGATCAAAATTTTGCATCAGTAAGCAAGAAAGCACACACTCACCTGCATGAATTTACTTTAGAGATGTGTGAAGGCTCAGGTTGTAACAGGAATTGTACCTAAAGTTTTATTCTTTAAAATATGTTTTTATTGATTTTTTTTTTTTTTTAGAGAGAGAGGAAGGGAGAGAGAGACAGAAACTTCTATGTGAGAGAGATACATGCATCGGCCGCCTCCTGCATGACCCCTACTGGGGATTGAGCTGAAAATCTGGGCATGTGCCCTGACCGGGAATCGAACTGGGACCTCTCAGTCCATGGGACGATGGTCAATCCACTGAGCCATACCTGCTGGGTTTACCTAAAGGTTTTAATCCTGTCATTCTTCAGTGACAAAGCTGCTCTCCCTATGATCTGCTACATAAATAGTCTAAGAAACATTCAAAGACATGTGAGTAACTGCATTTATAAGTTTCCACTGAGGCTACCTAAAATAATCCCAGTTTGCCTGGTAAAGTGCTGATTTTCATCCATTATCACTACAGTTATTAGTAGCACACCCTACCACTCTCAAGTGCCTGGATCTGGATATCAAAATATATAGTCATGGCCGGTGTGGCTCAGTGGATTGAGTGTTGTCCTATGGACTGAGAAGTCCCGGTTTGATTCCCAGTGAGGCACATGCCCAGGTTGTGGGCTCAATCCCCAGTAGAAGCCGTGCAGGAGGCAGCTGATGGACATTTCTCAAATCGATGCTTCTATCTCTCTTTCCCTTCCTCCCTCTCTAAAAAAATCAATAAAAATATATTTTAAAAATTCATATCGTCACCTTACTAAAATAAGCATAAGTAGCTATTAAGGTTCTCTGGCCTCTATTATCTCCTTGACCCATTGACTTCCATCCTACTTCTGACCAAGGGAATCTCTGTCTCTTACCCTCCCTGACTTCCAAATTCTCATTAAATGAACCTACTTTTCCTGACCAACCGATATCATCTCTTCAGTAAATTTAGGCTTTAAAATTAAGAAGGGCAGCCCTGGCCAGTTTTGCTCAGCGGTTAGAGCATCAGCCTGTGGTCCAGAGAGACCCGGGTTCGGTTCCCGCTAAGGGCATGTACCACGGTTGCAGTTTGTCCCAGGCCCTGGTTGGGTTGTGTGGGTGGCAGCCACTCGATATGTCCCTTTCACATCGATGTTTTTCTCTCTCTCTCATCCTCTCTCTCCTTCCTACTCTATCTGAACAAAAAATGGGAAAATGTCTTTGGGTGAAAATAAAAAGTAAAAAAATAAGAAGGGCATTAACTGCAAGTTGTTTATGGTTTATACTTAGCCCCAAATCCTAAAGCAAAGAATTACAAACACTAGATATCTGCCTAAAATAGGTGGGAGAGGAATAAAGGGAGAGGATTTACGTTCGTACAAAGAATAAATATTGGGATAACTTTATGTTGTAACCATTGGTACAATAGTACAACATTGTTGTATATCATTGGATATAGCTGATATATATATATATATATATTTTAATCCTCACCTGAGGATATTTTTCCATTTTTTGTTCAGATAGAGTGGGAGGAGAGAGAGAGAGAGAGAGAGAGAGAGAGAGAGAGAGAGAGAGAGAGAAACATCGATGTGAAAGGGACACATTGAGTGGCTGCCACCCGCACAACCCAACCAGGGCTGGGGACAAACTGCAACCGAGTACGCGCCCTTAGCGGGAACCAAAACTGGGTCTCTCTGGACCGCAGGCTGACGCTCTAACCGCTGAGTGGAACTGGCCAGGGCGATATAGCTGATATTTTTGAGGTTTATTTTATGAAGAAAATAAGCATTTCTTTTTAGTACATAAATATCTTACTCACTGCATTTCCCCTTCTTAAATAACAGTTTAGCAGATATGTAACAATGGCCCATCAATGAAAGAATGAGAAATAATTACCTCTGTTTATTAAAGTAGAAGTTAACTTATTCATTTATCCACCATCCAATAAGTGTTTATTAAGGCCAGCTATTTCCAGCAATCTAAAAACTTTAGATTTAGAAAATCTCTCCTGAAAGAACAAAACTTAGAATTCTGGATAAAATATTAAAGTAATTTATTTGTTAATGTTTGAGCTAGCAGAAATAAAGTGAATTCCTGTGAGTGCAAAAGAGAAAAGATAAAAAGATAACAACCCAGAGGGGGTACCCTTGGGGAACTAGTGGATTTCCTGTGGCTCAAAATCAGAGTTTAATTGACTTGACTATACAGGACATAAGAAATAAAGCCTAGAACTCAAGAAGTTTGGGGGTTTGGAACCATTATTGACTCTTCATACTGGATCCCAAAGGGAAACATCTTTCATGGCTAAATTAGAGGAAGAAAAAGCCCACAGAAGAAGAAGGCAATGGTATACATCTGACTTGGCCTTAGCTGTAGAAGAGCAGAAAAAGAAAAAAATATCCCCTATGAATTTCTAACCATCTGTGTTTCTGGTTAAAAATAAATAAATTTCATATTACACATGTAACAAAAAAAATTCTTTTCTGGAGAATATAGTTTAAATCCAGATATCAAAGATATTTTCCAGGTAAGTATTCAAAGATAACATGAGCTCTTAATGGAAATCACTATACAAACACAAATTAAGCCACTAGGAATGAGAATCACGATGAAAGATGAACCACAGCTGCAGAACCAGACCTGCAAAATTGCTAGGCTTATCAGGGACAGAATACAAAATAAATATACTAAATGTGTTCAAAGAAAGGGGGAAAAAAGAGCAAATTGAAAAGTATAATGAAGAAATCAAAATTAACAAGACAGATTTTTAAAAATCAAATATAGCTTTTAGAAGTGAAAATATGATAGTAGAAATTAAAAATTCTACGAATATGTTAAACAGCCTATT